TTTCGACATCCGTCGCGGATTCATCATCAGAGACATGAGTAGCAGAAACAGTTCTTATGTATCTTATATCTTTACTTCCGAACGAACGGCTAATTTTTCAACTTCAGGCGATAGAAAGGTTTTTATAGGGAAAGTATACAACCAGAAAAGAAAAAGTACTCAAAATTAGACAATAAAAGTTGTTTCTGCCTAATAATAGTTGGCCTTGGGAACTTGTAATAACGATGATTGCGCAATCCCATAGACATGTTTCAAACTAGAGGGAGGCACTTCTTCTTACTAAGTAAAAAAATTCCACAGAAAAAAGACGCATAGGGCCCCAGGATAAGATTATGCTGTGATAATTGTTAACCCTTAACTACAGCATTGCAGTAACAGGTACCTGCAATATGCCTTTCAGAAATTTCTCCTGATTGTATAGAGCAAATACTTTCACACTATTTTAAACGCGTCGAAGCAGCTTGCTGCCATACGAAGTGATTCAAGATGGTGAACTTCTTGTCCCAGTCCATCTTAAGTGTATTTCATAGAATTCAAATCTATACATTAAAAGAAGGCAGTGTGTGTTAATTTCAGTTCTACATATTTTTATGAAGTTCGACCAATGAGGTATGGAGTTGGCTTCGTGGAAGATGCCTGCCTGCCCTTGCTGAATGGCAAGACCAGAAAAAATTGATTACCATTTGATTACGGATGAAAGCGAGGAAAATGTAGAGAGTATCGACTTCATTCCCGCCTCCCACTTTCATAGGACCCCAGTGGTAGGGCATAGAAGACGAGTTGGATGTGGTTACTGACTCACCCTTCCCGCTCCACTTACCAACATCATGCGCCTTTCAGGCGATTTTCGCTCGATAATACTTAAAAAGACTTTGCTGAGTAGTATATCCTGTTGACCGTTTTACCACAAGGTCTGGAAGCCTACTTCCCGGTCCTAAACATAAAAACTGAACTACACGTGTTTGGATATAGCGGAAAAAGTTGTTCTCTCTCCTACCTCCTATCTTATTCCCGAGACAAACGTCGGGCACATCAGTTATTAGGTGAGATCGGGAGCTGCAGCCAAGTGGACATTTTACCCCTCCTCTTATGTGTCCTCAGTCGTTGTGAACAGGCTTTTGCTTATTTGGGAATCGTTTCCATTAGAGTGAAGGCCGAGTAATGTAGTGATCTTATTTCGAATGGTTAATCCTGTCCTGTTGGGGCACAAGTCTGCTCTTTTCACTTCAACATGCCGCTTTGTATTCCGCGGGCCAACGTTGACTAAACTCCTTGACGTTCACGTATACAACCTGGGGGGTATCCAACTGATTCAGTCCCGGACTACTAGAGTCTGCCGACGCCAGCGATTTTGGCAACCCTTGTTTTATGATCATTGATTGGCAGCTCCAAGTCATTTTACCTCAAATTGTGATCGAGGATGAACACGGCTGAAACAGAGATTTCCGGCTAGATAGCCGTGAAGGTGATTAGAAATGGGTAAATTAGGCACTTCCGACAGAACAGATATTGCGATTTTGATTTCTGCATAAGTTCCATTTGAAGCAGCGGGTGCACTTCGGTGCCGAAGCTGAGAGCAATAGTATACACACCTGGTGGCTGGTAAGGCTCTTTTGCACGGAAAAGCACATGGATCTCACGCGTAAAAAGTAACAGTCTAAACTAAGCAATTATTGGCCATACTGATAGCACAGACGCTCGCTAGAAAAGTTTTAAATCGAAGGATTTACTCGCTCAGTTCATCTTAGTACGCTGTTTACCTGTTTGCCTGAGTTAGGAAGTCGTCAGCAGTTCGTTCTTCTGTCAGGTAAGACGCCCGCTTTCTGACGGCATCCATTTCGGTGAAATAATTAGTCTCTTAAAAGATTTGCATACATGAAACAATTAACTATCGGGGCATTTTGGTTCCGTGTAGCCTTTGAAAATCATCACTGAGTGCACCGAGCCGTCCTCTCGCAGGATGGCAGGTATCTATAAAACAAAATCCACCAGAACATTCCGACCTCTCAGATATAACGAGTCGAAGAAGATCAAACAGATCCTAGCTGCAACCAAACAGGGCCAAATTTGCGCTGTTGCAGCTAACGGGAGAGGAAAATCGCGGTACTGCAGGTGTCCGATTTTGCCATCTTTAGGCGCCTTTAATTATGCAACTTAATGGTCGAAGCCTTCGTAAACCAAACATCGAACCTGGCCTAATTTAAAAAATTCCCTCATGCACCCACACACACACACACACACCACCTACGTCCAGAATACCACTGGTGAGCCCATGCGGATAAAAAACGAATTCGCGTGGCAGCCAGCACAATCACACCGGTTGGGGCTTCATGGTCATGCTTACTTCTGCGTGATAGCTTACAAAAAGTTTCTGCGAAATTTGTGACTGAGAAAACGAAAACACCAGGTTTGGAAGCGGAGTTTGGCCATATCTGGGTTTCTCGCGACACGAAAAGCAGTAAATAACCCTTCTACGAATGATCTTTGTTGCGTCCGCAGTGTAAACAGTAAACATACTCATTTCAGGGTCATAAATGAGGAATACCGGTTGGTACCGATATTCAGTCAGGCGCTGCCAGTCTTGGTATCATGAGGGCTGTTTCCACAGAGGGTGCACAGTGGCAATGGAGAAACGAAGCTTCGATTTTGCTTTTTTATAAGGCCAGCTTTCGCCGAGGTACATAATGTGTCCCACAGTACGGTGGCGTAGGGACAGTGAGTCTTGCGCAACTTAGCTGGAAGTAGTTGTTGACTTAGACTGCATCTACCACACTCTCTTCCTCCGCCCTTTCCCCACCTGGTCCCGGTTTAATGAGCAAGATGAGGAGAAAAGATCCCAGAGAGGGCGCGGATTGCTGGCGCGACCCGAGCCATCACTAGGCCTGCAGTCGCAACTGGTTCGAGTTCCACATTGTGAGGGTACCATAAAGGTTACAGTAAGAAGGCTTATTTGCCGCCTGACTCTCAATCCGCCTGTTGGCCTATCCAAACACACACACTGGGCAGATTCCGGCATCCGAGTTATCCCGTCAGTTGGCAACCTTCCGAGACATGGCTTTCAGCAGGTGTCAGGTTTTCATTTTGAGGAAAACGTACTCGGACGTCGACCTCTTTCTGTTCTCCCGTTTTCAGGCTCCAATCAGGTAAATGACCACAATATGCAGCCAATACGATAACAGAACAAGTGTCAGAACTTCTATGGACCCCTGGCACACCTTTGTCTAGTCATCTCAGAATAACTAGACACTTCAAGTTTACATCCTAACGTCGGTTACGCAGTAGCAGATAGACCCTTGATTTTGTTCCGTCATCCGTATCCTAGGGGACAAAATGAAAAGGGGCCTTATCATTCAAAAATCCCGAAGGGGGCGACTGACGTCGTGGCACATGACTGTTATCAGCGGACGATGGAAAAATGGTTGGTAGACAAATAGGATGGGCTTGAGGGAATTATTTATCGGTTGCCAGCCATTCGCAGAATGTCACATCAACCCACTGACTAGGGGTGCGTTTTCGGGCTGTGAATTCTCAACTCCCCACAATGCCGACGGGAGTCTTAACGCTGCACAACCTGCACACTATGCGATGACCAGCAACTTTAGATCAAAGATGCAAGGGGCTACGGCTCTCCAGCAACATTTGAACGATACCCGAACTCACTTTACTGGTCAGTCAATTCATTCTGGCCCGAGATGCCAGATTTCAAGGGTTCTTCTGTGGAAATGACTAGAATGCATTGAAGAGGCGACAAGTTTGAGGTGGTTCGTTTGCCGGAGGTCATAGTGCGCGCGCGCGCACACACACACATCCCGCTTTGTGTGATGCAATAAGCCCGATGATCACGCTCTCGCAAATTCTTGTTGAAAAATGTAAAAACTATGATCCAGACCCCTGTCCACAAGAGAGCCTTTTGGACAGCAAAAAAGTCTGGCTAAAGTGGTTTTCAACCTTAGACGCTTTGACTTTCAAAACCCCTTACTTCCTGAGGTGAAGCCTACATTTTCCTGTGCATGTACAGCAAAATATGAATAAATTTTCAACCAATCAGCTACGCCCAGTAATTACTAACTAGTCACATACCCTTGCCGAATTATCCCCGTCTTAGTCAATGCTGATTGGTTAAGAATTATTGAGCGTCAAATAGGCCGCGAAGACATAGACACGGTCGCCGCAACAAAAACCCGACCTTGCGGATTCGCACTCGATTCCATAATCAGGAACAGAAACATGACAAGAGTACTGAGTTGGACAATCAGTTGCACGTCAGGCGAACGCAGTTCTAGTTTCAGTGATCGTGTCTTCTTCTTCTTCTTCTCGACTGCTTCCCAGAACTTACCTCTTCTTCCTCATCGGCATTCAATGACCCGTTAAGTCCTTCCTCCCTGCAAAATGGTAGGCGGAAGGATTGCTGATAAGACAAATGTCAACAGTACATGAGCTGAATATGAAGGTTCATTGGCAATCATTTCAAATCCGGGCGAAGTAGCAGAAATGTAAAACTTTCCCTTTTCAATCCCT